TTTTTTTTTTTTTTTTTTTTTTTTTTTTTTTTTTTTTTTTGTAGCATGATTTCGGTTCTTCTTTCCCTTTTCCTTTGGCCAATTGCTTCTTCCCTCGAGAGGAGTTCATTGCTACAGACTTCAATAAAGTGGAAAGGCTGTCCAGGGAACATTTGGCCAATTCCTCTGCCTCTCTGCAGGATTGATTGGACCAGGCGATTTGTGACTCCTGCCTTTCCTTCCATCACTCAGAGGCTTAGTTTTCCTTCTGGTTGCTTTGTCTCCAGTGTCTCATATGCCAGCATGATGATCGGCACAACTGTCTTGAACACTTCAAGTGCAATTAGTCCTTCCGTGAGGAGGAGGAGGAGGGAGGCAAGCGTTCCTCCTGACACAAAACAGTCTTCTTTTTTAGGACTGTCTACCACTTTGAGCCATTCCTAAGCAGAAGACACCCATCTTCCAGTAGCAGAATACCCCCGTGCCTTCCTCGTTATGCCAGCCCTCACATTGGTCAGTAAGGCATCATTGAGAGTCTGTTGTGGGTCCTGCAGAAAGTCAGATGCTCCGGGTGTCACGCTACAACTTTAAGACATGGCTTCTGCCCCTTTGAAGCTTACGTCTTAATTAGAGAAACATCCAAACATATGAAGGTCCTGATCAAATGCCTGAAGTGTGTCTACTGATGCACCCACCTCCAGTGTCTAGATTGTTAGGTCTTTTCTGTTTCTTTTATTTTATCCTACACGTTAAAAAGCGTATGTGGCTTCTCCATTCCAAGGCTATCCTTAGCACATGTCCTTTATACCTCTTGGGGTGGACAGATGATGGCCCCAGACGTGTTCACATCCTAATCCCCCGTGCCTGTGAATTTGTTACCTTACATGTCAAAAGTGACTTTGCAGATGAGATTTGGTGGAGATGCAATTTAAAATGGGGAGATTTTCCTAGATTATGTCGGTGGATTCCACGTAATCACAAGACAGGGGCAGAGTCTGAGAGGGGGAGGTGGCAACAGAAGCGGAGCTTGGATGGTGTGGGGCCGTGAGCCAAGGAATGCAGGCAGCCTGTACAGCTTGGAAAAAACAAGGAAATAGACTTTCCCTTGAGCTTCCAGAAGGAACCCAGCCCTGCTGATAATGTTTTGAGTTCCGACTTCCAGAACTGTAACGTAATAGATTGGTGCTGTTCTCACCTACTGAATTTGTGATCATTTTAATACAGCAGCAGTAGGAAACATACATTGATTGAGCCATCCCTGGTCACCTGACCCACATTTGCGTCTTTGGTCTTTATCTTCTTTTCCGCAGGCTATGAGCGGCCAACAAATCTAGGTTATAAGTGAACACAACTGTTTGTTTTTAAACTTTCATTGTTCCTCTACCTTCTGTCCTTTTCAACCTTTTGTAGCCAAGTTATTTTGCAAACAGTCTAAGGCATTGATTCTCAGATCTGTCTATGCCCAGCATCACCTGAAAAGTTTTTCAAATAATGCGTCTGCTCAGGCTGTTCCACGGATCTGCTGGATTGGGACCCCCACCCCACATCCACTCACTGAACTGTAGCACCTACCACACCAGTAAAACAATTCGTGAGAAAGTTAATGAAGTTACTCTTCCCCACCCCCCATCTTCGTAATCCCCAAATATGGCACCACATTCAGTCTGTAAACTCTGAAACTCTGCTACATCTTATGTGCTGATCACCTTATTTCTGGAGATTCTTGGCTTCCAGGTCCTCCTAATTTATCACTAATTGCCCATTTGTTTTCCTTCCTAACCTTAAAGATGAGTCCTCAGATCTGTGTATCTATGTTATCTATGTATGGATCTTTGTATCTATGTGTCTGGTTTTAGTGTTTCCATCATGAATTCCTGTCTCTCTTCCGTGGAGCTCAGCTATCCTGAGCATCACTTCCTCCCTTGTGTGGACAACTTCTAAACTTGTAGCTTCTTCTCTGACCTCTCTTCCAGCCCCAGTATCGCTTTCCCAACTGGCTGCTAGACCATTCTCTGTAATAGCTACCATTTGTTAGATGTTTTTAGTCTTCACGACAGTCCCCCAAGATCTTAGTCCTGTGTTCACAGATGAGGAATCTGAGGCTCGCAGAGGTTACGCATCCAGCCAGGAGTCCTACGTCCCTGTGAACCAGATTCAAAATGTACCCTCAATATTCAACAGGATCCTCGATTCTTCTTTTGGCAAGTTTTCAAAATCTATTTACATAGGGAGCTTCCTTGGGGGGTTCTGCGGGCCCAGGTCCATTACCATCCTTCCGTTTCTTCTCAAGGCAGAGAGGGAATATATTTAAGTGTGTACATTTCAAGCGTGAGCTGTTCAAGAGAAGACACCAGCTTTTCTCAGGGTGAGGCATTCCTTATTTTTCCACTTGTTTAAAACTTACCCTTCCTTCAGTGCTCAACTGAAATGCCTCTGTGCACGTGAGGTCTCCTAGACCCACCTCACACAGAAGAAATTGCCTTTTCTTTGAACTAGGGGTTTTCAGGATAGTGACTATATAGTAAACATTTCTGTCCACACCCCTCCTAGCCCTGTGTATCTGGCAACCTGCTTCTAGGGCTTTGCCAAAGAAGACTTGAATGATGAGACACTGTTGGGAATATTTTGCTCTGCCATCCGGAAACTGGTTTTTCTGAACAGGACACGTATCTTTGAACTTTCTCCTACCTCTGAGTAAGTTCTCTGCCCTCATGGGGCAGGAACCCTCTCTCTAAACTAGGCTGGTCTTGGAAATTCCCTTTATTTGGAAGGATGAATTTTTCTTCCCTAAGAGGCCTCTCAGCTCAAGTTCTGCTTTATCACTTTTTCTACCAAGGAGTCTAAGTGCTCTGTGCAGATGAAACTCCTGATACCCAGCCCTAGCACCCTAGAATTCCAATGATAAATCTACAGATGGTGGCTCCCCACCTCCACCCTCTTCCGTGTAATGTGAGATGTGGAAAGAGAGAAATCAGCCCATCTCGACACCAACTGGTAGAGGCATCCCCAGCAGGACCTCAGAGAAGGATAGGTCTTCCTACATGGAGGAGGAAAGTGTAAGCTTCCTTTGTGATGCATCAAGCAAGAGTAGAGACTCACAGGTAGAAATAATGAGTGACAGGAGAAAGGCGGCCACAGTGGGGAGACCACCCTGGTTGAGCTGGAGCATTTAAGGGACATGACATTATCCCAGTAAATGGCTTCAGATTCCAAAGGATCTTAAACACCAGCCAAATGGAGATTAGCCTTGACGTTAGGGGCACTGGGTATCCTTGTATATTTTAAAGCTGGAAAGTGATCTAATGCTTAGGTTTCCATAAATAAATAACCAAAAGGAAGAAGGGAAGAGTGGCCAAATGTCTTAAATTCCTCTTGGGCCTATTGCCTGATTTATCTTGGACCCCAAACACACAGACATGTGCAGATTTTCTTGGATTATTTATTTTGGTTTTAACGTACACAGTGGAGAACTCGATGTGAGCTTGGCTGGATGCTTCAGAGAAAAGGGCTGTGTTGTGTATGCATCTGTTGTTGCAACTGGTGCAGGCCATCTGTGGGTGGTTCCTGCCATTCTTAGCAGCCCTCCTTCTCTCTTGGAGAATGAAGGCTCCTACACTGAGTCATTTGGTGGCCGCTGAATTTTATTTTCGGAACGTGTCCTAAATACTGCAGGCTGCCCACTCACTATGCCGAAGAGAATGCCCTTTGAGAAGAGGATTCCTATTTGTCTAACAACAGCTTGCTGCTGGGGCGATCTCTCTCTTTTGTCACAGGCTGAATGGGGAAATGCTCAGCCTTTGATCTCCAAGGCTGAGAGCGTCCAGGGAGGAAGCTGAGCAGCCCGCTATGGTTTGAGTCTGAAACACATCTTTATGTTGCTTCACACGACGTTGCATGTGGATCACTATCTCGGTGTTCTAGAAGAATCGGAATCATAAAGTTTAAGAACTGGAGGGGACCCCAGAGTCCAGCTGCCTACAGATCACCTGAATGTCCTTTACAGTAGTTCCAATTCGGGGTCATTCTGCTGTGTCTTGCTAGCTTCTTGTGCCAGGAGACTCACTACCTTGAAAAGATTTCTAATCCAGGGTAGCCAGTAGCCTCATACAATACCCTGTTTATGTAAGCCTTTCTAGAGAGAGTGAGTTAGATGTTTTAAAAGCTCACCAAAAATCATACCTGCAGAGCCTGCAAATTCATATCGAGGAATGTGGCTAAGGAACTAAATGAATGAATGAATCAAAATGCAATGTAATGTAATAAAGTGAATTAAAAACCATGTTGTAGAATAATAAGTGTTAATATGAAGAGGCAGTAGTAGCTATCATTTTAAGCACTTGTTCTACGTCTTTTCTGAGAGCTTTCCATGTACTATTTTATTTTTATTATTATTTTTTTTTTAAATCTTTTTTTTTCAATGTTTATTTATTTTTGGGACAGAGAGAGACAGAGCATGAACGGGGGAGGGGCAGAGAGAGAGGGAGACACAGAATCGGAAACAGGCTCCAGGCTCTGAGCCATCAGCCCAGAGCCCGACGCGGGGCTCGAACTCACGGACCGCGAGATCGTGACCTGGCTGAAGTCGGACGCTTAACCGACTGCGCCACCCAGGCGCCCCTCCATGTACTATTTTATTTATTATTCATTCAACCCTGGTGTGTCATGATGTGTGTGTGTGTGTGTGTGTGTGTGTGTGTGTGTGTGTGTTTTGAAGGCTGGGAGGGTCAGGGATTCTGTGAACACTTCAGAGTTTTTTGAGGATGAGCTAATGGTGTCTTCCGTCTCCTGTCTCCTACACTGGCTTCTGAATTGCTATCCCCACCCCAGCCGTCTGCTTTCCTGAGGCTCCACGAACCATTTCCCCACTTTGCCTATCCTATGGTTGGTTGGGGTCAGTCGCTTTTTCACGTCCATCAAGACAAGGCAGGCTCCCTGAGGAGGTAGGCTTTTTAGGAAGACTTAAAGGGGGTGAGGGACTATCATTAGGTAAAGCCCTGAAGAAAGGTACTGAATGATGGATCTTCTAAATGCATATTAATGCTTAATTGTTTCTGATGTTCTTTGGAGAGCCTGAGCCTCTCCTAATTTTCTTGATCTCTCAACCCTGAGGAAGAGCTGTACTGTCTGTCACACTGGACCAGGAACTTGACTTCCTGCATGGCAGTTCTAGAACGATTCCACTGTCTTCCTAGCTATGAACATAGGATGTGACAGTCCTGGACCTTAGTGAATATCACAGTGGTTACAAGAGTCTCTGGGTCCCTCCCCCTGGGCTCTCGCTCTCACTGAGATCCTTCTGTAGGGGGGCCCAGATGCATCCAGAGTTTTTCTCATGCTGTGTTTGAAACTTGACCATTTTTTTTTAATGATAAAGAATAATTTCAATAATGTAGAGTTGGTTTCTTATTAAATCAAAGGAGAAAGATTATCAAGCGTGGTAGGTATTGTACTTTAAGTTGATTACAAAAAGCTTTATTGAGGGTTAACCACTAGGCAATGGATAGAAAATCAATTACACGGTAGTTAAACATCCAATAATATGTGTTGTAATGAACAATTCATATTTAACACCTCTTATGAAATAATGAGCTGTGTTGGAGTTTTGGGGTAGCCAAGCAGCAGTTGGGATATGAGAGTAAAATCTTGAGGAGGCTGACACCATGTTTTATCAAGTAGCATCTCACGGCATCATGGTTATGTGAGGGCTGGTTCACTTCCCATTCCGGTATCATGCTTCCTGACAGCTGACATGACCACACAGCTTCTAAGAGTCACCAGTCTAGACCGAGACCCAAGACTGCACTGACGTCAGATTGGTATGAAAGAACAAGTCGTTAAGTCACTAAGATGATGCTGTGCATCATGAAATTAACATGTCCAGATTTCCTTAGGTAATGTGGACAGCCAGAGGGTCCTTTTCTCATCCTATCCCAGTCTATAGAGACCCATCTCTTCACCGTCTGCCATATTGTCTCCCACGTGATACATGAAAGCCTGACTCAGAACTCTTTATATTTAAATGGTATTTGCATGTAGTGTGTTCATGAATAACTCAATTCAGTTGCTATTCATGCTTTTCCTTTTTCACCACACCGCCCAATCAAATGTGATTTCAAGCTAGGAAGGGGCCATCCAGTCGCAAAACCTGCCAAGCCACCCACATTTCTGGCTTCACTGAAGGTTGTTCTGTAATTCCCTGTGTCTCCTTCTGCTCCGGGTTCTATAATATGAAGCTAGTATTTTCAAAGGAGTTCACAGTTTGTGCCTCCAGAATCAGACCATGGTAGAGTCCTTCAGTTGAGCCAATTCACAGATATTTTGCAGAGTTACAGGAGAGGTGAAGGAGAAAGCAAAGAGTGGAAGACAAGAAGAAAATAGCAGCGTTCAGGTGGCAATTGGAAATGAGAACCAGTGAAGCGGAGAGAATACAAAGCGGCTATTTCATGGGTAGAAGATCGCGATGGGGAAGGTTCACTCATGAGTAGGAGAAGCTGAGTGAGGAAAGGACAATAGGAGGGAGTAAGCTATTGGCTCAGAAAACACTGGCTCTGGCTGACATTGTGAAGATCATAAAACCAACCTGAGGTAAGTAGGATAGTTAGCATTTGGGAGCTTAGGCTCTAGAGCCTGGCAGACTAGATTTCTGGTCCTTTCTGCCACTTGCTAGCTATGAGGTTGGGAATTTATTTAACCCCTCTGGGCCCAGTGATGCAAAATCTACGTGCTTACACCCAAGTACCTAGTATAAGATCTGCCGTATCCTTGTCATGCAATAAATATTGGACAATGTGTATGTAATCGTATCTACCCTATATGGGCATTTTTGTGCAGACAGATTGCAAAAGGCCAGGTAGGACATTTCATGTATTGCCTGGTACATATAATATAATTATGAGCATACTTATTACTGCACTTATTTTTAAAATATGCAAGCATTTGATTTTCTGTAGCCATTTGATCTTACTACGTAAACGATGTCCCTCCTGTTGCTACCACGCTGGGAACTGCTGTGAATGCTGGGGCATATTTTGTGAGCTCCCATCATAGTGGCTGGCATTAAACATGCTCCGAGATAGGTTAAGGAAGTGAGTCGCTTGCGGAATCTTAAAGTGGGAGCTCACCTTACTGAACATCTAGTCTAGCCTGTAGATTTTATAGGCACAGCCTATAAATCCTTTTGGGACCAAGTAGAAATCGCTGTAGCAGCATGGCATTTTGTTAACGAGGATGCTGTGGCCCAGGGAGGCTAGGTGGTTTGGGCTGGGCAACCCAGTGTGTGATGACTAAACCAGAAGTATAGCCCAGGTCACGCAGTTCCCGGGGTGGTGGCAACCAAGCCTTCCCTTCCAGGGACAAGGGTGGCTAGCCAGTTGTAGAGCCTGGGGGCCGCTGTGTAAGATGTGACTTTCTCATGTTGCAGTCTCCAGGGGCTTCAGTGTCTTTTCGGAGGAAGAGCTTACAACCTGAGGCCTGGAATCTGAGGTTGGGGTTGTCACAAGGGGGTCGAGCCCAAATTCTAGGGCTGTGGGTTCCGAGGTAGAATTCTTGACAGTTCCAAGTAGGATTCCGGACTCCACCTGAATTTCTCAAACACCAGCCCGGGATTTGAGAGCTGGAGAAGCCCTGATGTATCAGCAGTCACGATAGGTTGTGGGAAAGGCACGTGAAAAGTGATGGGAATGAGATGAAGGAGGTGTCGAGGAGCAAGAATTCCCGTCCCCTTGAAGGTCCTTGTAGCTGGATTAGGAATCAGAGTGACACGAGACAGAATAACAGGAGAAAACCAAATTTTACAGGTGTGTATAATGGGACATCCACATAGACATGGAAATTCCAAAGACCATCAGGCAGCATGGAGTAGATATGTCATCCTGAAACTAAGGGGAAGGGGTAAGAGTCTGGGACTCCAGAGGAAAAGAATGTACTTCACGGGACCATAAGAGGAACAGACGTTTGGTAATTAGATGTTTGCCCTGCCTTACAGATGGGCCACTCCGAGAAAAACTGATCTGTTAATAACCCTTATTCTGGGGAAGACCCCCAATTTAGATTCTTCTGTGTGGTTAAGGGTGGGAGAAAAGTTTCTCTTCAGCCCGCAGGGACTCAATTGCCTTCAGCTCAAAATAATCCACATGCTAACGTGGCACTTTCTGGGTTGGGGGGCTTTCCTGAACACCATCGGAATCAGGGCATTTGTTGGGGGCAGGGAGTGGAAGTTCTGCTCCTTAGACAGGCCATCCTTACTGTTTACGGCTGGTGTGCTGGTTAATCCGAGGGGATTTGCATAGATGCAGGGACCAAGGAAGAGAAGGTTTGGGGACCCTGGGGGACAGCAGAGCAAGAAGTGGGAAGGGTGTGTGAGGGCCTGCATCCAAGAAGCTTCCAGTCTCATGGCCCCTTCCATCCTGATTTGCTATAACCCCTTTCCCTTGGGGCTTGAATCCAGGGAACTCTTAGGGAAAGACCTGACACATGACAAGTACTCAATAGGTATTTGATGAATGAATGAATGAATCCATGAATGAAAAGAATTTTAGAGCTAAAAGGGACTGTAATGGGCCTCAAGTGATGGCTATAACCAACACCATTCAATTACTAATTCCAATAAAGCAACTCTCAAAGCACTAACAGAAGCTTGAAAACGGAGAATTTATAATCACCAACATGCTTGCTGTCAAAGTCATGATGGTGGCCTGCTTGGGACCTGTCCCCCTCTTCTGCAGCTGCCTCAGGGAGATGAGAAGGCTTCGGTGTAGGAGCCCAGTGCAGCAGGGGGAACATCTGTGGTGAGTCTAATGAGGCTATTAGGGTGGAGGTAGGTTAGCAGCTTCCCCTGAAGGCACCAGGGGAGACCTGAGATCTGTCTCCCCACCGCCTGGGGGAACATATCTAAAGACTGGCTAAATTGCAGGTGCAGACTGAAAAGATACTGAATAGCCCCAGGCCACATTCTTCTAGGGACCTTGTGGAGACGTGGTGGGGGTGGTTTGGGGTGGGGGGCGCAGAGAATGACTTCTTTCAAAAGGCCTGGATGGGCTGGCTGGAAGGAGGGTGAAGAAAGGAGCAGAAATGGTTCTGCGGGCCCTCCAGGGAGCTAGCGGAGGTATTCTCCCGCCGCCCCCGACACAGCCCGTCATGTCGCACTTGGGAGCTGAATGTCGCTGATAGGTAGCAGAGTAGCTGCTGACGCCGGGGAAGTCTGAGTGGTGGGTCTTGTCGTTACAGAAATCACACCGGACAGCAGCGAGGTAGGGGTGGGGACGGCAGAGAGCAGGGCCCTGAGAGTCTTCGAATGTGTCAAAGCAGTTTTGTCACCGTGAAGGCAAACCCAAAGTGAAGCGTAATGGAGAACTCGAGGCAGATAGAGTCTGTCAGTGAGATTTAATTTGTTTCAGAACTGAGAGAGTTGCGAGAGCCCCCGTTCTTGATTGGAGTGGACAGCGGAGAGGTGGGAGCGCACAGGGCTGGAGCTACTCATTCCAGATAGGACTCCGGTAAACCAATCAGATAAATCTCTTCATTAGGGTCTTGAGTAAAAGGCAAGTGGAAAGAGGGCAGAGCGCAGCCTGTAGATTAAATTTGGTCAGAGCCAATATCTGACAATCCCCCATGCTGTTATCCAAATGAAAGCTAATGCAACTATGAATTAGCAGCCCCAGGAGCAATGGAGGAGGGAATTCAATTCTCTCCAACTCTGCTCCAGTCTAGACTGAAAGAGGAACCACGGGAGGCTGGCGTCGCTCCCTCCAGGCATGCAGGTGTTGACTGGGCACCTTGTGCCCCACTTGGGCTTCCCCACTCAAGTCTCAGAGTGTGGGCCTCAGTCATGTCTCAGGTCTGCTCAGCCAGCTCCGGGAAGGCCCAGGGTGAGCCCTTCGTCTTCCAGAAGGTTTCAGCTGCAAGGGAGCCTCGTTCCCTCTGAGGAAATTTCGCCTTGCCTTCCTCCTGCCAGCCTTGAGCATGACTCTTTTCTTCACAGTGAGCCCTGGACAGAGTTCCCCGGCTGGCCCTTGATATTTCTTTTTTTTTTTTTTTTTCTACCCTACGTTTTTTATTTATTTTTGGGACAGAGAGAGACAGAGCATGAACGGGGGAGGGGCAGAGAGAGAGGGAGACACAGAATCGGAAACAGGCTCCAGGCTCCGAGCCATCAGCCCAGAGCCCGACGCGGGGCTCGAACTCATGGACCGCGAGATCGTGACCTGGCTGAAGTCGGACGCTCAACCGACTGCGCCACCCAGGCGCCCCTGGCCCTTGATATTTCTAAATCCAGAAGTCCCCCAGACGGTAGCTATGCTTGTCGTGAGAACAGTCTGACATAGAGGATTGTCCAGTCACTATGTCGCCCACCTGAAACGAATGTAGCCTCGCGTGTCAGCTGTACTCCATCACAACAACAAAAACATAAGGAGTCCCCACCTAGCCTGAATCCAGTGATAGTGTATCACTCTCCCCTGCCAAACCTTCAGAACAACCATTTCCCCTCTTTGTTTTCAACAGAACAGAATTTTAATGAAACTAAGAGCACATAGGGGACCATGGATGGCCTTCCTTCCACTTATGGAGATTGATCTTTAATGCTTCCCTTGGAGGAAATGCCTGCCCTTGACCCCTCACATCTGTCATTCTGGCCCCACTGACCCTGCAGTCGTGCCCTTTGCCCTGCCTTCCAACCCACATGGCACTCACCCTCAGATATGTATTCGATATTAATGCATTATTGTTCATTTATCTTTCGGTCTGTTGATTTAATCTCGTCCTGGGCTTATCCTTCACCCGTGTGCCATGGTATCGTGTAAATATGCTCTTACGTTCCTAATAGACAAAGTCGGCCGTGTCTAGGTAATTCTTCGGTTTGCACAATGCAATCTACAGCGGGGCCTTCTTTTGATGATGTTGGCGATAATGATATCAGATTGTATGGAGAAGGGCAGAGAAAAGCCGCCATTAGTTCCAAGAGGGAGGCATTGAGTGGCAGAGAGGGAATCTCCTCCAGCCCTCCCTGGGACGGGGTCTCGCTGTCAGCTAGCAGGTAAGAGGAGAGAAGGAATGAAGATGAATGTTTTACCGCGGTGGCTGCCCAAGGCCCGAAGCCATCTCAAAAGCCAATCCCCGAGACCCCCAAGGGAAAGGGCCAGTGGTGCAGCACTGGGGGCCTATGGCCCTGATGGGAACATTTATCAGACATCTGTGCAAATGAGAGCAGGGAAGCAGAGCTTGTCCCAAGAGACGTTGTCTGCACCGGGTGGGGGGTGGGTGGAGGGGGGATATCTTAGAATAAAATCCTTTAATGTTTCTCTCCACAGCAATATAGTCTCCTTAATATGACAAATCGGAGCTCCTGCCGTACTTTACTGCCTGCATGTTAATGAGCCGAGCCCGTGTAACAGAGCCATTTGGTGGAGGGAGTTTACAAACAACTTGGTTTTGAGATACTCAGAGAGAGAGGGAGAGAAGGAAGATGAGGTTGCATTGAGAGCCGTAGGTCTGACGGAGGAGGCAGCCTCCCTACAAGCCTTGGGACTCAAGGAGAGCCCCCTGGAAGAGTCTTTGCTCTTGGAGTGGCCACGCAAAGAGAGCTGGGGGAGACCTCTAAGACTCTGAGATTGCATTTCACTGAAGGACCCGATTCATTAAAATGATGTACAAAACACTCGTCAGGGGGCGCCCAGGTGGCTTAGTGGGTTGAGCGTCCAAATTCAGCTCGGGTCATGATCTGGCGGTCTGTGGGTTCGAGCCCCGTATCGGGCTCTGTGCCGACAGCTCGGAGCCTGGAGCCTGCCTCAGATTCTGTGTCTCCCTCTCTCTGCCCCTTCCCCACTCATGTTCTCTCTCTTTGTCAAAAATAAATAAACGTTAAAAAAAAAAAAAAAAACACTCTCCAGCACGTGCTACAAGATTCCCAGGGTGAATGCAGGTCACTGTCCCCATCTGGCTGCCACTCTGTGGTGCTTGAGTGACCCTCTCCAGCTGGAAGAGCAGGGGAGAGAATGGGACCTAGGCTTTCACAGAATGGGTCAGCCTGTTTTCTGAATCCAGGGTTAGGGTAATGTCCAGATTCCTTATCACCAGGCTCGTGAGGTCACTTTGTTATCTCGACAGGGTGAAACAGTGGCCAGTGTGAGTGAGCCCTTTGGAACACTAGAGACCTTGTCATAATGACGACGATGATGGCGACGGTTATGATGATGATGGTGACAATGTCACATAACGTACTCTGTGCTTACCAGGTGCCAGACCCGGCAGTAGGGGTTTTAGATGCATGTATCATTTAATCCTTACTCAACTAAGTGCTTGATAAGACTGTTATTCCATTTTTAGGATGAGTAAAGTAAGGTTCGAAGAGTTCAGTATCTTGATCACAGTTACAAATCTCCTTAGTGATGTCGCATGCAGAAGTATCAATCATTGGAAGAACATGTATGGAGCCTCCTTGAAGGATGTTGTATTACAGAATACTTGAACTAGAAGGAATCTGGACACGATCTGGCCCAACCTTTCTCACTATCCAGGTGGAAAAACCATCAGCCCGGAAAACAGAAGTGACCTCTGCAAGGCTAGGCCACCAGAAAATGGCAAAGCTGGGGTTAAAGTCCAGATCTTCTGAATTCCAGTGCTTTGTTCCTCTCTGGCACCCTCATTGTCTTCCAGTTTGGAGTGTTGCAGGATTTTAATTTTTAGGTAATGTGCTGATGGCTGGTGGTGAATTAAGCGCACGTGGGAACTAAAACATCTAAGAATCGGGAAAGAGCCGAGGGGAAAGCTGGTGTCCATTGAGCAGCTATAGTTGGACTGAGAAAGAGACCTGGGACACCCGCCATCTTGCTCTAGGGACGCATCACCTGAGATGGGAGCAGCCCCCTCAGGGAAGGCTGCGAGGGTGGGAGGTGTCTGGGTCTGGTCCTGGGATCCTTGTTCATCCAGGCTTGTACCTGAATACTCAAAGAGGATGGGTTCCAGAGAACAGGGAAATGACCAGAGATGGGCCTTCTCTCCCATCCACCTGAGTGTGCCCAGCCCCTCATCTGGGCTGGAGGGATGTAAATGCCAACTAATGTACCATGTGGGGCTGGCTGCCTAAGAATCACCTGGAGAGTAATTTATAGACAGATTCCCAAGCCCTACTCCCAGAACTTCTGATTCAGAAAGTCTAGGTTACTATTCACCTATATTTTTAATATTGCCTCCAGGTGATTCTGATTATCAGCCAGAGTTGGAGCCACTACTGAAGGCTCTGATGTCATCGGGCAAACACAGAAGCAGGTGGAAAGATCAGCGAAGGAGGAGAGCCAGTTAAATGCAAAAAATGGTGATAGAGGGCTTTTGGGTGGTTTTTTTGTTTTGTCTTTTGCTATAACCCCTGGGTTCCTGCCAACGATGATGCTGAGGGTGATTCCAGTGTTGAGGGACAAGAGAAAATGGACTTCTGGGTAAGATCCATTATCTTAATGCAGATGAAATTTTCAATAATTACAACTTCTTGTCAAACATGCAGGCTCAATTGAAATAAAGTCGTGAATGGTGCCAGGATTATCTAGATCAATTCTCCTGTATGTGTTATCCCTGGTAGTCTCTCGAGAGATAAAGCACCCATCATGCTAGGTAATTATGTGGATAAGTGTGGCAATTCCACAGTAACCCAGCCATAAGTGAATTCAGTGGGAACAATTCAGGCTGATGTAGCTGGAGGAGAGGAGGGGACCAGAGCAAAGTCCAGATAGCATTGTGACAATCATGGCCTCATTTGTGCTGTCAGCAATAAAGCACTAAATCACTGCCTATAGGAGGTAGGCACAAGGGTAAGTTAGAAGAATTCTAGACCATCCCTCAGTTTTCCAACTGGCAGATTCCCGAAATGCGGCACTTATGAGCCATGTGACCGGAAGAACATGGCAAACTCAATATTAAGAACATGGCCTTAGCATGTAAGATCAGTGTGTGGCTCCTCTTGGTAAAGCAGAGAATGAACACGCACATGTGTGAGCATACACACACACACACACACACACACACACACAGTCCATCAAAACGGGGAGAAGTTACTTCTCAATGTTGTAAATTTAAATGAAGTCCGGAGTAGTGAAGGCCATTTGTAAGGTCTGCTGAGCTAATGGATTCATAATGACTTTTCAAGCTTCGCTCGGGTAAGAAATACTGTTCATTTTTTAATTGCATATAATTATACTTTTTCATAATCTAGGGCAGCATAGCAAAAGTAAATCTACTGGCTTAATTATAAATCTTTTTATTATCTGGAACCCTGCTGAAATAAAAGGAAAGAAACAACTATTGTTTTTTTTAATCTAGTAAAAAGGATTAAAAAAAAAAAAAACCTCAATGTTAAATGAGTTACGATGTTTTTGATGGGAGAACACTGGTTTGTTTCACGTTTGATATTCTTTTGGTGGGGGGCAGGGGGGAAGGCTGTTTGTAGAAGTGCCCGGACGTTCTGACCTGCCTGTGGTCCAAACTGCCTCCTGTCCTAAGGGAGTGAGCATTTGCTGGTCTGTTCAATAATCTGAGAGAGTCCTTTTTTTATCCCTAGAGGTGGAGTCTGGGAAGAGCTTCAAGCTTGAAGGTGCAGCAGGTTAGGGGGAGAAGGGGTTGCATTCCGGGAAGAGGTGAGAAGTCTGAGGAGCTGAAGCTCCCAGGATCATACTCGGATTATTCTTTCCACTGGGTTTCTCCTCCTGATCTTCCCAAGACTCTCCTGTGACTCTGTGGCTCGCTCAGAATGACCCTGGGGGGAAAGATGCACTTCTGAAGGACACGGGATGATAACCTGGCCAGGAAGATGCATTGCTTTCATGGAGATGAGATTGGCTGTACCCTCCGTTCCTTGTAGAGTAGAAATGCTGGACCAATCACGTGGAAGGGAGCAGCACCATTCCGGAGGCATGAGCAGGTTCGGGGCGACGTAACTGTGTCTGAGGCAAGGAGAGCAGGCTCACGAAAACACGGGCAGTTCTCCGTATTCAGCTCTCCACTGCCCCCCCACAAGTCAGAGAGGGTCGGAGGCACCTGCTTCCAGGTGGGCAGCAGAGGGCCCGTTAGCGCCGGAGCCTGGGGGAGGCGGGGAGCCCCTGGGCAGCACCAGCCGAGCCCTCGCCGAACCGTCCTGAAGACCTGGCTTCTCCCTGACCCAGAATTCCACGATCCCTTGAAAAGGCATCAATGCTGGATGCCCCTTGTTTAAGCGAATCAGGTACTCAGTCATTGCTGGGGAGGCAGGGAACCCAGAGAGAAACACTAATGAAGCTCTTAAAGGCTCGGTAGCCCATAGGGGCCTGATGGACATGGATGGGGTTGCAGCCCCGTCTCAGAAGAGGGGGACGTTATCCTGAAAGGCGACGGCGGTTCGCAGTGAACGTCTCTAAATCCCTCTGCGTTACTTTTTGCCACTCTGGCCCCAATTCCGACCCCACGCACACGCCCCCGTGGCACCTCAAGTGTGGGACACGCTATACATTCTGTGCTTCGAATGGCAACCGCCCCTGGTGGCGCGTGCAACCCGTGCCTGGCGCTGGCTGAGAGCTGCTTCTCTCCCTGCAGCCTCTGCTCCGGCAGCCACGTCTTCACCCCCGACGTAGGGGTTCCCTTCTCCTGCTACTTACTCTGGGCTCCAGATTGCTGTTGTCAGGCCGGTGCTGCCAAAAAGTGGCCCCGAATTTGAACCCCTCTCCCCAGAAAGAAGCAGAATCTCACATCTCCCGTGGAGAACTCCCTTTCATGCCCTCTGATGCCTGCAATCAGGGAGGGGTTCCTGGAAGAGGTGAACTTGACAGTACAAGAGTGGTCGTGAACAGTCAAAGGACAGTTGTGTCCAGAAAGTTGCTTTAGTAACGCATTAAAGTAAGAACCCCCCCCCACCCCCCCGCTCCCCGCAAGGGTGATGAGTTTGGCTAGCCAACCTGAATCCCACTAGGGGTCATCCAGACCCATTTCCTAGGTATATGATGCTTTTCATCAGCCGGTCACTAAATCCCAGGGAGTATGCTTTACTCCTCTGGACTCTCCTCAGAGCAGATAAGACACATGCCAGTTTAGACTCCTGGCACCACCACTTAAGAGCTATGTGGACTTTGACTTCATCTTTCTTAATCTCTATATGCTCATCCATAAAATGGGTATAATACTAGCGGGCCTGCAGAGTCCTAAGAATTAGAGAAAAGTCAAGGACCTAGTGAAGTCAGAGGCCTGCTACCTACTCAGTGCTCAACGGGTGTTTTTTGGTGTGTTTTTTTTTTTTTTTTTTTTTTTTTTTTGCTGTCTCTGTTGTGGCTATTATATTCCTAGATTCAGAAAGCTGGGTACACGTTCCTGTTTTTCTCGTTGCTGGCAGCTTGGCCTTGGTTGAGTTGCATAGTTTTTCAAAGCTTTAGCTTGGGCGTCTGGGAAGTGCAGCTAACGACTTCTGCCTTAACCAGGTAGCGAGAGGTTTCGCAACAACCAGTAAAAGTAAAAGCCTAGCACAGCGATTTAAACAAGCAGGAAGTAACACCCCCTCACTTACCGAGCCTTCCAGGATATGCTGTCGCAGTTGGTTTGGCAGCTTGACCGTGTCAGGACGAGCATCTTTGGGGCTCTCTGGGCCCTTCTGTACCAGCTTTTCCCTTGGTGGTCCTTGACGTTTCTAATTCTTAGAAATGCCTTGCTCTAGGCACAGAGAAGGGGGCAGAGGAAGGGACAGAAGATCAGCC